GTGTCTCTGTGTCTCAGTGTGTCTGTGTCTCAGTGTGTCTGTGTCTCAGTGTCTCTGTGTCTCTGTCTCTGTGTCTCAGGTGGTCATTCGGAGTCCTCCTGTGGGAGACGTTCACTCTGGGTGGTTCTCCCTACCCCGTGTCTCAGTGTCTCAGTGTCTCTGTGTCTCACTGTGTCTCTGTCTCCCCGTGTCTCTGTGTCTCAGGTGGTCATTCGGAGTCCTTCTGTGGGAGACGTTCACTCTGGGTGGTTCTCCCTACCCCGTGTCTCAGTGTCTCTGTGTCTCAGTGTCTCTGTGTCTCTGTGTCTCTGTCTCTGTGTCTCAGGTGGTCATTCGGAGTCCTCCTGTGGGAGACGTTCACTCTGGGTGGTTCTCCCTACCCAGTGTCTCTGTGTCTCTGTGTCTCTGTGTGTCTGTGTCCCAGTGTCTCTGTGTCTCAGTGTGTCTCTGTGTCTCTGTGTCTCTGTGTCTCAGTGTCTCAGTGTCTCAGTGTCTCAGTGTCTCAGTGTCTCTGTGTCTCTGTGTCTCTGTCTCTGTGTCTCAGGTGGTCATTCGGAGTCCTCCTGTGGGAGACGTTCACTCTGGGTGGTTCTCCCTACCCCGTGTCTCTGTCTCCCCGTGTCTCTGTGTCTCAGTGTCTCTGTGTCTCTGTCTCCCCGTGTCTCTGTGTCTCTGTGTCTCTGTGTCTCTGTCTCCCCGTGTCTCTGTGTCTCAGTGTCTCTGTGTCTCTGTCTCCCCGTGTCTGTGTGTCTCTGTGTCTCTGTGTCTCTGTGTCTCTGTCTCCCCGTGTCTCTGTGTCTCTGTGTCTCTGTGTCTCTGTGTCTCAGTGTCTCAGTGTCTCTGTGTCTCCCCGTGTCTCTGTCTCCCCGTGTCTCTGTCTCCCCGTGTCTCTGTGTCTCTGTCTCTGTGTCTCAGGTGGTCATTCGGAGTCCTCCTGTGGGAGACGTTCACTCTGGGTGGTTCTCCCTACCCCGTGTCTCTGTGTCTCTGTGTCTCTGTGTCTCTGTGTCTCAGTGTCTCTGTGTCTCAGTGTCTCTGTGTCTCAGTGTCTCAGTGTCTCTGTGTCTCTGTGTCTCAGTGTGTCTCTGTGTCTCTGTGTCTCTGTCTCCCCGTGTCTCTGTGTCTCCCCGTGTCTCTGTGTCTCTGTGTCTCTGTGTGTCTGTGTCTCAGTGTCTCTGTGTCTCAGTGTGTCTCTGTGTCTCTGTGTCTCAGTGTCTCTGTGTCTCAGTGTGTCTGTGTCTCAGTGTGTCTGTGTCTCAGTGTCTCTGTGTCTCTGTCTCTGTGTCTCAGGTGGTCATTCGGAGTCCTCCTGTGGGAGACGTTCACTCTGGGTGGTTCTCCCTACCCCGTGTCTCTGTGTCTCTGTGTCTCTGTGTCTCAGTGTCTCTGTGTCTCTGTGTCTCTGTGTCTCAGTGTCTCTGTGTCTCAGTGTCTCTGTGTCTCTGTGTCTCAGTGTGTCTCTGTGTCTCTGTGTCTCTGTCTCCCCGTGTCTCTGTGTCTCCCCGTGTCTCTGTGTCTCTGTGTCTCTGTGTGTCTGTGTCTCAGTGTCTCTGTGTCTCAGTGTGTCTCTGTGTCTCTGTGTCTCAGTGTCTCTGTGTCTCAGTGTGTCTGTGTCTCAGTGTGTCTGTGTCTCAGTGTCTCTGTGTCTCTGTCTCTGTGTCTCAGGTGGTCATTCGGAGTCCTCCTGTGGGAGACGTTCACTCTGGGTGGTTCTCCCTACCCCGTGTCTCAGTGTCTCAGTGTCTCTGTGTCTCAGTGTGTCTCTGTCTCCCCGTGTCTCTGTGTCTCAGGTGGTCATTCGGAGTCCTTCTGTGGGAGACGTTCACTCTGGGTGGTTCTCCCTACCCCGTGTCTCAGTGTCTCTGTGTCTCAGTGTCTCTGTGTCTCTGTGTCTCTGTCTCTGTGTCTCAGGTGGTCATTCGGAGTCCTCCTGTGGGAGACGTTCACTCTGGGTGGTTCTCCCTACCCAGTGTCTCTGTGTCTCTGTGTGTCTGTGTCCCAGTGTCTCTGTGTCTCAGTGTGTCTCTGTGTCTCTGTGTCTCTGTGTCTCAGTGTCTCAGTGTCTCAGTGTCTCAGTGTCTCTGTGTCTCTGTGTCTCTGTGTCTCAGTGTCTCTGTCTCCCCGTGTCTCAGTGTCTCAGTGTCTCAGTGTCTCTGTCTCCCCGTGTCTCTGTCTCCCCGTGTCTCTGTCTCCCCGTGTCTCTGTGTCTCAGGTGGTCATTCGGAGTCCTCCTGTGGGAGACATTCACTCTGGGTGGTTCTCCCTACCCCGTGTCTCAGTGTCTCTGTGTCTCTGTGTCTCTGTGTCTCAGTGTCTCAGTGTCTCTGTGTCTCCCCGTGTCTCTGTGTCTCTGTGTCTCAGTGTCTCAGTGTCTCTGTGTCTCCCCGTGTCTCTGTGTCTCTGTGTCTCAGTGTCTCAGTGTCTCAGTGTCTCAGTGTCTCTGTGTCTCTGTGTCTCAGTGTCTCTGTCTCCCCGTGTCTCAGTGTCTCAGTGTCTCAGTGTCTCTGTCTCCCCGTGTCTCTGTCTCCCCGTGTCTCTGTCTCCCCGTGTCTCTGTGTCTCAGGTGGTCATTCGGAGTCCTCCTGTGGGAGACGTTCACTCTGGGTGGTTCTCCCTACCCCGTGTCTCTGTGTCTCAGTGTCTCTGTGTCTCTGTGTCTCAGTGTGTCTCTGTGTCTCTGTCTCCCCGTGTCTCTGTGTCTCAGTGTCTCTGTCTCCCCGTGTCTTACTCAGGTGGTCATTCGGAGTCCTCCTGTGGGAGACGTTCACTCTGGGTGGTTCTCCCTACCCCGTGTCTCTGTGTCTTTGTGTCTCAGTGTCTCAGTGTCTCTGTGTCTCTGTGTGTCTGTGTCTCTGTGTCTCAGTGTCTCAGTGTCTCAGTGTCTGTGTCTCTGTGTCTCAGTGTCTCAGTGTCTCAGTGTCTCTGTCTCCCGGTGTCTCAGTGTCTCTGTGTCTCAGTGTCTCAGTGTCTCTGTCTCCCCGTGTCTCTGTGTCTCAGTGTCTCTGTGTCTCTGTCTCCCCGTGTCTCTGTGTCTCAGTGTCTCAGTGTCTCTGTGTCTCAGTGTCTCAGTGTCTCAGTGTTCCTGTGTCTCTGTGTCTCTGTGTCTCAGTGTCTCAGTGTCTCTGTGTCTCAGTGTCTCAGTGTCTCTGTGTCTCTGTCTCTGTGTCTCTGCGTCTCTGCGTCTCTGTGTCTCTGTGTCTCTGTGTCTCTGGGTCTGTGTCTCTGTGTCTCAGTGTCTCAGTGTCTCTGTGTCTCTGTCTCTGTGTCTCTGCGTCTCTGCGTCTCTGTGTCTCTGTGTCTCTGTGTCTCAGTGTCTCAGTGTCTCTGTGTCTCTGTGTCTCTGTCTCCCCGTGTCTCTGTGTCTCAGTGTCTCTGTGTGTCTGTGTCTCAGTGTCTCTGTGTCTCTGTGTCTCTGTGTCTCTGTCTCCCCGTGTCTCTGTCTCCCCGTGTCTCTGTGTCTGTCTCCCCGTGTCTCTGTGTCTCAGGTGGTCATTCGGAGCTGTGGGAGACGTTCACTCTGGGTGGTTCTCCCTACCCCGTGTCTCAGTGTCTCTGTGTCTCTGTGTCTCTGTGTGTCTCTGTGTCTCTGTGTCTGTGTCTCTGTCTCCCCGTGTCTCTGTCTCTGTGTCTCTGTGTCTCTGTGTCTGTGTCTCTGTCTCCCCGTGTCTCTGTCTCTGTCTCCCCGTGTCTCTGTGTCTCTGTCTCTGTGTCTCAGGTGGTCATTCGGAGTCCTCCTGTGGGAGACGTTCACTCTGGGTGGTTCTCCCTACCCCGTGTCTCTGTGTCTCTGTGTCTCTGTGTGTCTGTGTCTCTGTGTCTCTGTGTCTCTGTGTCTCTGTCTCCCC